ACCAAACAAGTTAGAAAAGGGTGCATAGTCGCTGGAAAAGTATTCATCAAATTCCAAACGATGGTCTGGATAGTCGGGCATAAGTGTTTGAAGGCGCACTGAAATAGGAAATCGAAGCCTTGCACCAGTCACCTCAAACTTACACAATAATAGGAGAACCAGCTTCGAACGTGACTGGACTACATAACTGCCAATGGAATAACCGTTTTCGTTGAGACAACTCGATTTCATTGGTTGTTCTTCACTCGCCCTTGACAGATGAGTTGTACGCTTAGTATCACTTTTGACCGCTTTTACGCGACACGGATCAATAGATCTGCTGATTCGCACGTTCATTGGCTTTTCTGGTTTGGCTAAGCGCATCAGCCTATCAAGCGGCTATCCACACCCGGGTTCACAGTATTAGGAGGCCAGTAAGAAGATTGTGGTCCACAACACACATCAGGGTAAAGTTGATCACCCACATCCCAAAACAGATGACAGAAATCGATAAGTTGTGGCTGGTTAAACTATCAAACTGGAGTAGATGTCTAGCACTCTCCGTTACGGGTTATCCTTTCAGTGCAACAATAGTTGAACCGCATGAAAATCTTACCAAAGGCCAAAATTGTCTACTTCCAAGTCTCATACTGCAATTCTCCAAGTGGAGCAAGGTTTTGCACATGTAAAACGCGACAATTCCAAACGGTTACCCAAAGAGTCATTTTCATATTGATTTTATATCGATTCATTTGGAATGACATTCATCAGCCGACACTACTGTGTCAACAACATCCATTGTTCCATAAGCTGAAAACTCATTATCAGGAAGGTCAGAAAGCACCCACTGAATACCCGAAATCCACTGAGACCCTCAGCTCCGATAGATGCTGACCAGACAGACAACGCTCCCGCAATATGCAGTGCTTCACAGCCTCGTATCAAACCCAGATAGCGCAAGTCAGCGTTGATCAAGGTCAGACTCAATATACAGCGCGTCACAGCCTCGTACCAAAGCCAGACCGCGTGCGTCAGCATTGGACCAAGTTCAGACAGTGTCTCTTCAATAAATAGCCTGAGACCGTTGTGCATTCGCACTCGCACGCACTCACGCTCTCGCACCCGCTTGTTCATAATATAGCTGATGCAATCATTCCGGTGAGTTCACACCAAACTTGGCTAGCATTCGACTCGATTTTCCTTTTATTAGGGCTGATCGGCGGTGCTTGGCTCATGACTTAGTGACCTGTCAATCCCGGGCCATTTCCCCCTTCATGTTCAATCTCTGTTTCGCAAAATTCATCCGAACCAGTCTACTGGTTCGGTTGCAACGGCATTATCGATTGCATCTATCCCCGATTCCTACCATTTTCAAATTTCAAACCATATCAATTCGTCTCTGGGACCAGGTTTGACTCCGTGATATGGCCAAACTGTTCACACGTTAACTTATTGTCGTTGTGGTCAGTAGACAAACTCTACATAGAAAAACATTGTTCAGCTGCAGCACCCTTCCGGTGCCTAGCTGCCATGCCACACGAAGGCTGCACGAGGGCTGGTATACTGCCAGGTTGCCCAACCCTAGACAGGGGAAGTCGAGAGGCAGAGGTCGGGTTCAAACCACGGACACTCCAATCAGTAGATTCGCGCTCTAACCACTTGGTCCATCTCGCATCACATAGAACCGACAACATCGTCGAGCGCGACTGCGACGACCTAGGGGGAGGGTGACACACGAAGAGTGCATCATCATTATCATCATCATCATCATCGAGAGCATGACATCAGTGTTCAACACCGGTGCTTCGCTCCGTACAACCATGGTGTATTTGATTGCCTTAGTGTAAAGAGAAGAGTAAAGGTGGACAGGGAACAGAGTTAGTGCTATCTTACCGCAATCATTCCGACGTGTGTATATCTCCAGAAACTCTCTCAAGCGATCTGGATAGAAACTGACAACAAGAACGCCACGAAAAGTGCGGAACTTTTGATTTGGTCATTGCATGGAGTAATGGTGAACTAGACTAATGAACCGTCGTACCAGAGTGACTGCGGTCAGACTGTTCGAATCTGCGCTTGCTCCTGGAAGAATTACACTCCATCCTGACGGAATCTCATGTTCAGATGAGTTTAGGATCTCGTCTGAAGGAAGGGTCCTATGTGTTCGCACCGAAAGCTTCCGTCTCAAATAAAAAACCGCATGTCAAACACTCAGCCGGTTACCAACGCCTTTTGATGAGTGGATTGAAACGTGGTTTTGTGTCCACATCCTCAAGAGTCCAGGAACGAAGCTTGCCGTTACAAGACCCTTTGAAATGGGGTCGTCTGGATCCCGTGACGGTCGCGAAACGGGTTGTGCTGCTCCGGTGTGACGGATGCGGGTACCGACGAGACGATCGATGCGTTCGTGGGTATATCAAAAGGAATCAGCCCGGTAACGACCTTATGTCACACCTCATACGGCTTGGGAAACGGACACAGCTCTTAGGACAGCGGCAAGCCAAAAAGATGGCCTTTTCTCTGGAACTTAGAAACCAATTCGAGCTAATGATGCTGTGTGGCAGTGTTGGTACAATGTCGATGAAACCAAGTGGTGCCTTAGTACAGCTGAAGGTGAGCAGCAGAAAGACACATTCTGGAACTTCCGGAGGTAAGGTTGAAGCATCACCTTCCCATACAATGTTTCCAACGAAGCGTAACGTGAATTCGTAGAACTACCTCAAAGTGTTACTTACTTACACCTGGCACCATGAGCCGCGAAGTTTTACAAAAACCGTTCAGCTGTAGCACCCTTTCGGTGCCTAGCTGCCACGCCGCCCGAAGGAAGCATGAGGGCTAGGGTGTTGCCAGGTTGCCTAAGCCTAGACAGGGGAAGTCGAGAGGCAGAGGTCGGGTTCGAACCACGGACCTTCCGGTCAGTAAATTCGCGCTCTAACCACTTGGTCATGCCATGTTGGATTCCAATCTTTTCCACTCCGCATCAAGGGAAAAATGACGATCAGGGAATTCGGAAAGCTTCCGAATTTCCCACTATGTCTTTCAGACTACTTGAATTAGTTCGCACCAAATGAGAAGATTTATACAAATGAGTTTGGTGTCAAACTGAAGCCACGTTCCAACGCACTTTCCGGTATCAAACGTAAGACTAGGCGTTCCGGCACAGAAACTGTGGGATCGTTTTTTCGGTTAACGTGACTCCTAGGTAGCGTCATTTGTCACCCGCTGCAATACAAACTCATTTGATAGCTGGTTAGTCTGATTAGGACTACTGGGTTTCAACACCAAAACGCACCTCTGAACAAAGCATTTAAAAATCGGTGGATCAGGAAAGGAGGACCTTTTGGTAGTACCTTGAAATATCAGCAGTTGCTTAGGTGATCGGTCTTGGCAATTCACTTACGGATGTCTCGTCATCGTTCGAACGGACGCCATCATTGCCCAGTCAACAGCGCACTGAAGTTGTCTTCTCGAATTCGAGTCAGATGCCATGTTCGGCGAACAGATCAACAGCCCTCTAAACAGTAACCAAAGAGTGTCCTTCGCCCGACCGAATTCAAGTCTCACGAACTGGTCATGTGAAGCTATCTAAAGCAGTGTACCTGCAAGGTCGTAGATGCAACCTTGGAAAAATGGCACCAAGTGGTTGGCGACGTATGCTTCGGTAAAAGCCGAAAACTCGAGTACATTCTGGACAGTAATCTAATGTGAGTATTGTTAATTACGTGACGTAATTATTTACGCTTCTCTATTCCTCAGACCAATTCGATACCATTCCGATAAATGCTCAAGTTTCAAGACTGAACTACTCTATTTTATATAAAGTTGACCCCATATTAACTGTTTTCATAAATAGATTTATTCACATACATTTCTGGGTTTGTTGTTGAACATTTTGTCTCAAATTGAACTGCACAGCACTGTCCCCTTTTAATTTGTCTGAGAGCACACTGCCCTTTCTGTGCCATGCTGTGTTGCTAACCGTAAAAAGTTCTATCTAGCCGTAAGCTTTCCTTTAAATCTGCTCGGTATTCACTATTAATTTCTTATAGAAACACGGTCTGCCTATTTATACTGTCTGTCCACGTCTAATCCAATATATTCTTCACTGCCCAATTGCGACTATTGAACAAACGCAGGTGAAGTTTGTAGAATTCGGTTTCGCCACAGTTATTACTGACCGTCCGTTTGTGAATTAGACTACACGTTGCCTAGATCGTGCGTTTATGCTAATTCACCAGTTTCTTGCCTTGAGATCACGGTTTTAGCACAGCATTGTACAAGTATCACACACCTCTATTTACGACGAATTTTGGATTGCATCTGAATGTCAAGATAATGTCACATCGTGACTGGTCGCACAAGCTGAAGGCTGGGATGCTTGAATTGTTAGCTCCATACTGAAACTGGGCGTGTCAGCGGCCTTCTATGCGATTGGTCAGTTTATTAATTCAACGATTTTTTCCTTGATCACACAAATGCATGAATCCTAGCATCTGGATATCACCTGGGCAACCAAGGGCTCAGTAACAATCTGTTTATGTTCAAACGAGTCCTGCGCAATGTCCTTCTTCTTTCTTGTCCAAAAATGAGGTGAAATCTCCAGGAAGACAAACCAAATTGCAGCAAACTATGAACTCTCAAATTCTACCTTAGTTTCCAACTGTCCGTCGATATGATTTCAGTTTTTATGTAATTTTCTGCTCCCATTCAACGTGAGGCATTCACAATTCAAAGACATCTCTCAGGGCTAACCTGTCTACCGTTAGTATCGATTTGGCACGTGAACAAAATGGACACACTCATGCTGGAAAATGCGCTACGCTAATTAGACTACTTTATTCGGCCGATCGGAAATTGTGTTTGGTTGGTTAGGTTGCTGAAAACTCTCAGACAGTCCACGACCGGTTCTGCCCTTCTTGGGGATCATCAGGTAGGCGCACTCCCCGAGTTTCCTTAAATCTTATTTTTAACTTGAGATCAAATTGCGCGAAATTCGGTAAAGTAGTGCATTACACACTTACATGTATCGCGATATCTCGAACATCGTAGCAACTGAAACATGAGGCGGCCTGGTGCAGCACATTCAGTTGCCTGGAAACATCACAAACGATAGATTCAGCTGGGTTCCCGGTGAGTCTCTTGCAAAACCAAGTTTGTTTGCAAATGGGTATATTTCGCTGAAATGGAAACCACTAATTTTGACGACGATATCCGAATAGTTAGCTTGAGATGCCTCAGTGGTTAAGGGGCGAACTTACTGACCGCAAGGTCCGTGGTTCGAACCCAACCTCAGCATCTTGACTGCTCCAGTTTAGGCTTGGGCATCCAAGAAGTATCCCAGCCCTCTTGTGACCTTCATATATGTTGTGGACCAAAGTTCCTTAATGCCTTCTCATTACCGTGATCACCTGATCGGCTGGTGCGCCTGGCCAAACCATAAAAAGTCAATGAATGTGCTAGCCGGCTGATCTATTGATCACTGTCGCGTACAAGCGGTCAAAAGTGATACTACGAATACAGCTCATCTGTCAAGGGCGAGTGAAGAACAACCAATGAAACGAAAACGGTTATTCCATTGGCTGTTATGTAGTCCCGTTACGTTCGGAGCTGGTTCTCCTAAAATTATGCAGTGGCGGCTTCGCAAAAGATGTGACATCTGAACGATTGATTGATTGGTACCAGGATAAACACTAGATGCAACACAGTGGAACGTATTTTTTCATCTGTTTCCTACCAAAAAATCTCCGATTCGGCGTCTGCTCAGAACAAAGAATCACCGTAAACGCTGTTTGTTGAACGAAGGTCACTGGAAATAATAACCACGTGTCGTAAAAGGTCCTCAGAATGACCGGTGAATGAGTGTTTTCGGATCCCGCGCATTTGAAATGCTGATGGCTGACTAGACTAAGCGCAAGAAGTAACCTTCATTGGTGAAAAAAACATTGATCTGAACGGTCAGGATGTTTGCTATCCACAGTGATGCTTTCCAGTTGAGATTTTGTCCTGTCAGTGAAGCCAAACGGAGAGGCAAACGCATAAAAAAACTCGGACCGGCGATCTTCCGACCAGTGGCCGATCGGCTCCAGACGCCTGGCTGATCAGCAGTGTGATTAGTTCTCACTTAGGCAGGACCACTCATCTTTCATTCGCGGAAAACACGTCACGTGCCCATATATTGACTGTTTCCTCGGCTTCACTATCCCACCCCCTCTTGAACAGGGCTAACCACAATAGTTTTTTTTCCGAGTGGAAATTCATCGCTGAGATTTGTGGTTGCTCTCAAGGTCACTCCTGTTCGTGCTCATATCCTCACAGGCTGACGCAGAAACTCTTCGGAAATCGATAGCTGGGGCGTATTCGATTGTGTAAGATCAATTGTAGCGCCATAGTAATCCCAATATTGTATTAGCCGCTGTGAATCAATCATGATGTGGAAGTCAGTAAATAGAGGTGAGCTAAGAATAAAATCAGTCCAATGGCTTTTTACGGCTACCATCAATCCATTGTCAAGTAATAAATCGTTCCAGAAATGATGTCGAAGCAGTCGGGGTTCACTGCCGAAACAGTACTTCGCCAATCTAATCCTTCGACTGAGGTTGGACTTCACAGTGTTTTCGACAGTTTCGCCCTTCCAAGTAAGCGTTAATCACAGCCGCTCGTGGCCGAACGAATAGAATGCTAGCCGAGAAGTTCGAGACTCCCCCACTGGGATTTCGTGAAATGCGCTAAAAAGTCAGGTCAGGCGATCTGGCCGGCCAGACAAACGGCCTTCGGTGTCTGGTCCATCTACCCTCGAATGCTTGGCGTAAAATCCGGGCTCAGATTCGCGTAGCACCATCGTGTTGAGTGCATACTCGATTCATTAGACGAGGCAGCTCCGGTTGTAGAAGATACTTAAATGAGATGCTTTTGGTGCCAAGAATGCCAGCCTAAGCTATAAGCTTTGCGCATTGTTGGGTCCGACGACAGGGCCTCTAGCAACGCAAGTTGCATCTGGACCCACCAATCACACGGCCTCATTAACAAACACGATAGGGAAGGGTTAAAGAAACTGGTTTCAGGTTATTTGCTGCGACAGTAAGGGGCCTTCAGCACAGAGGACGACGACACTGGATCCCTGCCCGGCCATGATGCCATCCAGAGAACGCTTCCGGCTCCTCGGACAAGCCTTAACAGAGTAAGCTTGTCCCAGTTAGCCGACCTCGGATCTGAGTTCCTGAGAAGGGGGATAAAACACCGCGCTTCTGTTCCAGCATTGAAGGGGCTTGTCACCAGCCGTGCTTGACGTTCAACGCACACCACACAGTGCCGCGTTTCGGGCTGCTCACATGTTTTACATGGGAAAGACAGAGACTTTCTAATACGAACGGATGTGACCCAAGCTACAGAAGAGATCTTAAACTCATCCACAGATGATGTTCCTTCAGCAGGGAAACTAGATTCATCGTGGATGGAACTAGTCTGACACTATGTTGAGAGGGCTCCTTGGTCTACTTGGCTCGTCTTATCAACGCTTTTTTAATGGAGCACTTCACCATTCAGTGATCAAAGCAAGAGGTTCCACACTTTTCGTGTATCACCCTCAGCCTAGATTTTTGCAATGACGAGTGATGATTTGGTCAATTCTGTGTGGAAATTGTCTGTTGACCACGCTGACATCAAGTCAATGTGCGTATAATGGGGTCATTCGGCTTGGTCACTGCTGGCCCCAGAGACGAATTGATTATAGACGTAATGTACTACTCATGAGGAAATTCTTCGGCGCAAACGATAGATTCAGCCGGGTTCCAGGTGAGTCTCTAGCAAAACCAAATTGGTTTGCAGATGAGTGCATTTCACGAATTGATGTAGTTTGAAAATGGCAAGTAGTAGGAATTGGGGGTAAATGCGATCGATAATGCCGTAGTGACCGGTTATTCAGACTGGTTCGGACGACCTTTGAGAAGCAGAGATCGAACACCCAAGGCGAATCAGTCTTCAGTTGGATACTTAGTGTTACGAGACAGACGATAGGCGTGATTTTCCAATGTGTCCTGCGATTCTAAAACTTCAATAAATCCCTCCACCGCTGGGGGCTAAGATCGTTTTGGGGCTTTCATTTTCAATGTTGCATGGGGCGTGAGCACCATCTTGGACTGCGTTACTTCGATTGGCTGACAGCTTTCGTCCAATAAATTATAAACTAATATTGATGGGCGACGTCTGTTTACCGGACCAGAAAACTTTGCTATGATGAGAGCTTAGAAAAGGATATTGAGAGCAGCTCGGGCGTACTGTACCCAGAGAGCTTCACCAAGAGTTACGGAAAGACGAAGGGGGCGAATCGAAGCTATATACCGTCAGGAGGACAACCATCTGTTGCGCTTTGCCGAAGCAGCCTTGATTCGGCACTACAAGCCCAGCTTGCGTAAACAACGGCTTTGATAAGGCCCACTTTGAATGACGTCTACAACCTTGGTATATCCTGGGGGCGTTTTTCTTATTGATCTGCGTCAAATTGTCATTTAGGCTGCTCAAAGTGTGGTTGTGCTTGTATGTAAAACGAAGTACGCGGAGTCTCCCGACTGCTGAAGAACCACGGAGCCAAGTCGACTTCGTGGTTCTCGGTTACCGTTGGCGACGCTCACATTTTGACCACAGGTCAATATGGATCACGCACGTTGATTCAACTTCGTCCGCCTTAGAGTTTCCCTAAATCTCACTGGAAAGCCGAAAAACGAGGCCTCCAATTTGGTGACAGGAAACCTGTGTGAACCGCAAGATAAGGGTGACCAATAAGGCATCAGTGTTGAACACTGATGTTATGTTGTCGATGATGACTACGAGGCTCGTATTTTCTGAGCAAGATGATCCTTGCTCCCTGATATGGTCCCTTCCATCCACAGGGAAACGGTAGTCAAATAGAAAATATTGTTCTGTTCAACTGTGCGCGCGAATGCGTGCAGATGAGCATACAGATTCATAGTAGGTTTCCAAAGTAAAGGCAGCAAGAGAGCAAATTGGTGGGCTGGGCTGGGTTGGAGAAAACGTCCCAGCATAGCAGACATCACAGAACGGAGGTGGGTTCGGACAATGACGGTGGGGAGGGGGCAGAAGAGATCACAGAATACTTGCTGGGAGGAGATGAGCGGTAGAAAATTAACACACATTCACTGTACAATCTGGTCGGTCAAAGAGAGTCATGTGGGTTTCATCCGTAGTCCGGAGAGCGAGAGGTTGTCAACTGCGGTGCCCACAGCCGTAGCGACACGTTCCACGTGCCTTTGGCGATACTATGACACAGAGCACGATCGCGCGGATCACCCCAACCGCCACTTGGCCTGAACATCAGGATCCTGCCTGACAATCTGTCCACCACTTCCAGTTTAGATGGATACAAGTGGGGAAAGAGTGGACCGCTGAGTTTTTGTGACAGTTCCACGTACAACTTTTGTGTGGAGCAATTGGTATTGTGGTGGTGCACTCCATCACTGAAAGTGGGAATCGGGCAAAGAGGTCAGTCAATCAATAGTACTCGCGTAAGATGTCACAAGTTTGTCGATAAATGGTTGGCATGACCGTCAAACAAAGATGGCCTCGGATTGGGCAGAATGAATAGTTTTTATTGGACAATATGCGCTTGCAGATCATTCATTTAGTTACGCGTCCAAGGTGCCAAAAGGTGCCGAAATTCCCGGTCTGCATTTGGCCGGTAGTGGGGAGATTATGAAGTCTTACATCAGAAATGCGTTCTTCGAGAGATTCAATCAAACCGTAGGCCATAGGCACAATGATTCAAGCTGCTAGAGCTTTGATTACCGGAAAGTGGGAGCGTATGAGACATGCAGCCACGGTGATGGCATGTTTAGCTAGTTATGGAACAGAGTATCTACGCACTCCAATCTTAAAGCGATTGAGGCTTTCTTGTAACATTCAATAGACCAGATCAACGGAGAAAATGGTCCAGAGGATAACCTACTACTCATGTTTTATCAGTAGTTGCTTTAGTCTGACTGGGTGAAAAATGGCAATTCTCGGCCGACCGACCGATAAACAGATTGAGTGACGCTGGACAAGGGACATTCATGCAATGGCTTACCATTCACCAAGATGGTAGACACGAGAGAACCAGGCAAAAATTAACACCCGGAGACCTCCCTTGATACACCGGCGACCCAGTTCCTGCAAACTCCAGTCCCAGTTGTAGTCGTCGTATTCACAAAAGACCTTGGAGAGATGAAATACAGTACCGTGTTTTGAAAAATAACAAGACGTGAATCGGGACTAAAAAATTCCGAACAAAAAAGAGTCATGCTTGAGGGAGGAATCCCTTCGGACACGATGCATAGGATTGGACACCAGTGCACCGGGTCACGGAAAAAGGACTTGAAAATTGTGAGCTTCCAAAAGCCATCATCATCATCATGATCATCATCGGCAGCATGAAATCAGCGTTCAACGCCGATGCTTCACTGATTTACTTGAAAGCTTTATGGTGAAGAAAAGAATAAAGGTGGGCGGGGAAGGGACCTAATGCCGAGGCGCCTACACCCCCAAACACTCATTAAGGCAATCTACATGGAAACTGACAACAAGGTCGCCGCTGACGTCGGTTAGAAGCCATATATTGCAGCGTCTCCAAACCAGGCGCAGTGGGTATCACGCGGTTACCATCCTGGAAGTAGCACCGACAGCACACGAGCATTTCGTGATCTCCTTCATACCCCTCTCTGCTTCCGCCACTCTGAGTTGGGCGTGAAAAACAGCACTCTCTTCGGTGAACGACGGCTTGGTACGCGCAATTTCTGGTGCCAGACAGATTCTTTGATGGAGTCCCCGTCGTACAATTGACTACTCTTTCTAATCGCCTCGTTACGGATTCTCCGACACCAACCCACAGGTTGTCCTGAGACAACGGGTGTCCAACACCTGAAGACGTCTCAGGTCCGATGCACGAACGAACCGAATCTCACAGTCATACAACAAAAGTCAGCATCGCGGCTTGATACACACGACCCTTGAGGTTCAGGGATAGACCACTCTGACGCCATGCATGTCCCAATTAGCAAACGCAACCCGGGTCTTGTAGATTCATACATTTATCTCATGTCACACTACAGTGAGAACTAATACAACTTCCAAGATACACAGAACGCTCCACAACTTATGAGATGGCCGATGTGACATGACAGTATTATTAGCTGTAAGTGTTATAGTTGTACGAGGGTTGTAATACTGTCAGCGCGCCCACACCTAGACAGGAGGACGATTAGGGTCCTCAACCAAAGCCTTTGGCTCAAAAGCCTGACCGCAAGGCAGCGGTGTTTGGCTGGAAATGCAAATGCATTATCATTTCTACGGAATAAGTCTTCACACGTTTCAACCCCCAAACTAAAGGACCAGGAGAATGTGTTTGTCAGGCTTTTAACCATGGACCAACCTGGTATGAGAGACTCTGTGAAACTCCGTCACCGGGACACGCCCAGTATAGCTTAATGGATCGCTGAGATGCGCAAACCGTCACGGCACTCTAAGGTCCAGTCTCTCCGTGACGGGAGCTGATCGTTCAGCTGTAGCACTCTTTCAGTACCTAACTGCCATGTTACCAGAAAGAACTACGGGGGATGGGATACTGCCAGGATGCCCAAGCTTATACAGGGAAGTCGAGAGGCAGAGGTCGGGTTCGAACCACGGACCTTCCGGTCAGTAAATTCGCCCTCTAACCATTCAGCCATCTCGCCCCCTTCAAAAAGCATTCTGTCGGCTGAGTTTGTCTCCTGGTGCATCATCGTATAGCTCCAAGTTTCTAATTCCACTTCAAAGAAAAATTTCAAGCTACTCGGCAGTCCGAATGGCATCCATCAAGGTCATTCATAGTTGCCTTAGCGCCTTGAGCTCGGCGTCTCCGTTCACGTCCGATTTTGTCTTATCGAAAATCGATATAGTCCAGTCTCAAGAACATGCAATATCCTCCATGATCGACCCAAAATCACCGCAAAAAAAGTCTTCACTAAAAAGTAACCTGGGCGTAGATGTGAGGTCAAGATGTCGGTCGTGTAGTGATATCTGCCCCGACTTGTACTTTTAGCTCCGAACATCTGATCATCAGTGGTCGTGTGGCATGAGACGCGTTCGCTGCGGAATGTCCACAACGAAATGATGGGCAAGCGAGAACTCCGAATTTCTCAGACCGCAAGAATTTATGACAGTTCGAATACGCAGTGTCAATCATTGTCTACCAAAGTGCTGTTTTGCATTTCAAATCCTTCATGACGAAAATTCCTCGGAAGGGGGGAGGGGGGCGCAGGCTGTAGCCTGGCAGCTCAAGAGGAAAACTATCACCGTTAAATTGAACGCTGTGGGATCATCGCAGTTTAAATGGCTTTTCCCGCACACAACTGACACGTCTTTACGGCGGGCGTAGTGCCCATTTATGGCCGTACCAGTTGCCTGTCGTTGCGCGTTGAGCTTGCGTTGGACAAGGCTTGAAAGTAATGCTGGGTCAATCTCAATGAAGGCGTCTCGCGCCTTCAGGTGTGTTTGCTTCATTGTTGTTGGTCAAAGCTGCGAGCACTGTGTCCTCGCCTGAGGAACAAGTGACTTCTGAATCAAAGTGCGATATGAAACAGTGAGTTCTAAATTTGAAATAATTCAACTGTCTGAACCATAATACTCATGAGATTGATGAAAACATCCAGACAGTTCACCATGTGTTTCGTCCTTCTTGGGGTTTATCAGTTAGACGCAGTCCGTCAACACTTGTGGTTAGAAAACTCCACTCATTTGCATACCAATTTAGTTTTATCGGTTCTGGACACCTTAGAAACCGACAGGGTGTTTGCCTACGCTCCACACTCCTCTTGTTTAGAATTGTCAAAGGAATCTTGGGACATATTTTTTCAATACACACTCCTACAGATTATGGGGTCAGTAGGATTTCTTCTGGAGGTAAAATTGCACCCTCTTGAGAAACAAGGAAGCATTTGCTGTGGACTCTGCTAGGGAGTGGCCCAGCTTTGAGAGGGATGCGTCTCTTGAGGGTGTGCCGCAAAAATGATTTACACGGAGGGGCGAGATGGCTCGGTGGTAAGAGCACGAGTTCACTGACCACAAGGTCCACGGTTCGAACCCGACCTCTGCCTCTCGACTTTCCCTGTCTAGACTTGGGCAACCTGGCAGTATCCCAGCCTTCGTGCTTCCTTGGGGTGGCATGGCAGCTAGGCACCGAAAGGGTGTTAGACTACAGCGGTTAATTTTTCTGTAATGATTTTGATACTTGGTGGTGAGTTCCAATCCTATCAAGCATCCACAACACAAGCGCGAACTTATTAACCAAGAGGATTGTACGTCAAA